CAATGATTGTAGAATCTTAATTATTTCCTATAGGCCTATCCATGAATAATTTCTTTTTACAATGAAATATTCACTGTCAAATATTATTACAGCATATCACAAATATTAGAACAGACACAGTATAATTGATTATAAACCTAAACAAATGATGTAACTGAAAGAATCCTATTATAATGAAATAACATTAACATATGGTTTGACAGCTCCATTTAAGTTGTTAAATAATGTTTACATTTAGGCTAGTGGCATCATTATTTTAAATATGATCCTTATAGAGCGGAGGCTGGCGTTTACCCCCCCTCCCCCCCCCCCGGTGGGAATTTTCGACATATACATTTTTTGGTTTGTATTGCCATGTACTTTAAGGTTTTAGGTGTTTGCCACTTGTGAATTACAGCATGTTCCGGAAAACACGAAAATATCATGAATATATATATTTAAAAAAATTGATTTTCTTTAGCGAGTTCGTTTGGCTCTACAACCCGACCGATTTTCATGATTGAGGTCTCAAATTGAAGGTATTAACGCACAGATTTCACATCAAGCATCGGCATATAGTTGCCTACAGTCCCACTCGGCTTATACGTAAACAACATTTTTTTTCCCACGTATTTCTTATGAGAGTTAAATTTGGTTTTTCTTTTCCGAGTTCGTTTGGCGCTTCTACCCACCCGATTTTCATTATTGAGGCCTCAAATTGAAGGTATGCACGCACAGATTTCACATCAAGCATCAGTATATATTTATCGACAGTCCCACTCGGCTTATACGTAAATTAAATTTACCCCCCATGTATTTCTAAAGGGAGTTAAATTTGGGGCCGTAGGACGGGCCCACAGAAAGTTAGAATTTTAAAATGCAAGTATGGTCAAGTCATCAGATTGTTCTCAGTGACATGCAAGCAAATGAAATGAAACGAAGTGAGCAAAGTATTTTGCAAGTATTGTAGTTGATGCTTTTGAACAATGCATTATTCTGCTTGAAGTTGAAAACCGTGATCAGAATTCCTAGATGGTCTGTTTTTTAGCTGGAAGAACTGTACCCGAATCGGTAGAAGACAATTTACTCAATGTAGATAATCTAGGGAAAGCTGCATGCAAACAGATTAGTTGAGATATGAGCTAAAGAAATATTTTTCTGGAGTTTTACTGCTGTCCCAGGAACGTGATATTAACCTTGAGAAGCTTAACAACATACCCATTAGATCCAGGACCATGGGCATTAGCCACTGGCCACTACCAATGGATGCCCAACAAAAACAGAAAAGGCCAAAATGCTCCATGCTTTGGAGAACAAGCGTATATAGTAGACGAACCTTCCAAGATTGAAGAATGAATGTATGTATGTAATTGACGGTATGGCTTAATTTAGGTTCTTACTAATATTCCAGAAACCTCTGGTGAACTAGCACAGATTGCCTTCAGCCGTGTTCCGAAATTCAGCAGGATATACTTTATTACGGATACCTATTTAGATGTATCTATTAAAAACATTGAAAGGGAGAAGGGGATTTGGAGACACGTTTTTAATGAGAGGTCCAAAATCAAGATCCCACGGGATTGGAAAAAAATCCTAGCTAATGGTAAAAATAAGGAACAACGGGTTAACCTGCTAAATAATGAATGGTCTCAGCACAAATATGCATAAATTCAAACAAGCTTCAATACACGTTTCAAGGGTAATGTAAGGTTCTTTTTGGTGATATTTTGAAATTCACCACCCACCTACAAACAGGGTTGCTAAGAGTAACTTATTAATTTTTTTCAAAGGCAACCCATATCAATCAGCACATTATTTTAAAGAAATAAAAAAAAATTGTCGCAAATCCGATTTTGATACAAGGAAAACGAAGTTTTATACGTTAATTTTACTGGAACCTTACATTCCAGTAAAATTTACGTCAAAAATTCTTTAATAAAATTTATTTAATTTAAATAGAATCTCTTAAAATCTCTTTCCTAGAGGTACTCGTTAAATCTAATGTTATTTAAATAGATTTAATTGAAAATCAATACAGGCCAATTTGAAATCCACATTGCCTGCAGGTTTGCAGCAGCGGGGGTATTTTATTTATAACTGTAGCTTCATTTGTGTGCAATTTGGGTCCACTCGGTTCAGTAGTTTTTGAGATTATCTCATACAAACACACACACAGACACCACCTCTTCTTTATAATAGTATAGAAGATTATAAAGAAGAGGTGTTGTCTGTGAGTCTGTGCGTTTGTATGAGATATCAAAAACTACTGAACCGATTGGGCTCAAATTGGACAAACTTACCACTCCGAGGATACGTATAGAACTATTCCCCCTTCGATATTACACTAGGACTTTGCCCCACAGACTTTCAGAATTCTGAGGTGAGAGATTTAAAAGTAAAAATTTATTGGTCTCCATGGTAAGATCTCACAAAAGTTTAAATGTAAACAAACATGAATTAATTTTGATTTCACATTTTCACACAGCTGGTTCAAACATATTAAATACTACACAGATATTAGAACAGAAAGGGTATGGATCATAAACATAAAAAATGATGTCACTAGCCCGAATGTAAACATTATTTAACATTATTTAAATGGAACTGTCAAACCATATGTTAATGTCATTAGTATAGGATTCCTTCAGTTAGGTATTTTTTTATGTTTATGATCTATACTATGTCTATTCTGATATTTTTGAAATGCTGTAATAATATTTTACAGGGAATAAGTCAGACTCTTATACTGAGTTTTATGAAAATTATTTTTTTAAATACATTTTTGTGTAAATAGTAATAAGATACCCCTGCTGCAGCAAACCTGCAGACTAAGGAAATTTTCCATTTGCCTGATTATTTCACAAACATAAGTTAGAAAAATACACTATTGACAGGCTTGGAACTATTTTGATAGCTTTGCGTTTATATTACAAACGATTCAACATGTCATTTGATTATACCTTAAAATCTATCATTGATCTTAGGTAGCCTAACTGAGTGTTTACATTCTGACAAAAACGTACGAGTGTGTTAACAAAAACGTACTATTATCAAGTCAAGTAATACAGTTCAATTTCGTTTCTAAATTGAATGGTAGTAGTGAAACCATTTTTTAAGCCATTTTCAAAGAACAGACCAAGTCTCTTTTGCATACAGACCCCGTTGCAAGGCACGGGTATAGCTGCTAGTAACTAATAAGTTCAACATAACAGTGATCAACTGAGCTATAAAAACTATTTACGCCACACTACATTATTTTGACGAACTTCCCACGCAAGGATTTAGTCCAGAAAACAGCTGTTTGCCACCAGCTTATTCAAATGGGGTTTCATTGCGTACTACTGTACTGCAATGAGTTTTGCCGGACACCAATCAGCTGATTATACTGCATTTAGGTGGCAGTGAGTGGTTATAAACAAAAACATATTATGATTAGTGATTTTTAGTCCTTTAGTTGGCGGAAATATATAAGGATTTGTACGGATTTAGTAGTATGGCGTAAACTATCGTACGTAACTCGTCCAAAATGTGTGTACCGGACTCGTATGGTAATCCCGTACTCGACTTCGTCTCGCACGGGAACGACCACACTCGTCCGGTAAACACTTATTTTCAGGACTAGTAACGTAATATACTATTACAACAAAATATATAAATATTTAACCTCTATTTTCATCGAGATCAATCAATAATATAACTATCGCAAGCTTGACATGGCATCTTTGAAAGTCTGGGAACAGATTCCAAGTTCCGATACACCGGAGTTAACAACAGGTGTTCTTAACAAACCATACAACACTTGAATACACACATCATTAAGTTTTCTATTATTTCTCAATTTTACAAAAATAAAACATTAATTTTCGTTTTACAATGTAGAATAGTTAAAAAAAATATAATTTCCACGTTCAACCGAGTGAGAAAGGACCTTGAAGATAAGATAAGAGCAACAAAGAAGATGTTTAAATTAACAATGAAGTGAAATTGTTATTGCAATGTATAAGGTCGCCAGATAACCTTTGCCGCTGTACATTGTTGTCATTGAAACCAAAGCGCATATCAACTGCATGTAGCGCGGCACTTCCACTATACATCATCGCGACTAATTATTTCACCAATAAATGAAAGTAAAACTTTAAATAATTTAATCATAAAATACTCCTTAAAATGTTTGCTTTGAATTTATTCAATACCATAATCGTTAATAATAGCTATCAATGGTAAGCCAACTCCCTTAGTAGCTAGGACTATAACATTGAGGTTAAGTTAGTACCGAATGAGAACGAAGGAGGAAAATGCACCATTCATCATTATTTCATTGACTACACGTTTTAATTTATTTTTTCATATCAAAATTAACCCTCTAAAATATGTAATGAAGGATAAGTGTAGGTTTTAGTAGCCTGCAGAGATTATCGGGGTTTGTAAAAAAACCCTGTCTGATATGCAGCCTTATTAAATTTTCCAAATAAACCCAAGTCAAGACTTAACTAATAAGACTCTGTGTCATTAATACCTTGTGCTAAATCCACTTTTAATCAGCCAACTACTGTCTGATACGATAACCACTATTTCATGCATTCTAGGTTGAAATGTCGAATTCCTAATTTGTAAAAACACAAGCAATGCTATTAAGATTCACAATCAAAATACCCATATACATCACACTGTAGTGGTGTTGAATTGAGTTGGTGATGTGTATTTACTGTATTAACGTATTCCGGTTTTGGTGTAGTGATTTCAATAGATTGGTTTAATCACGATTGCAAATTAGTGGATAATCAATTATACTTTTCCGTACAAATTTAGTCCTTTCGTTATTCCAAAGTCAAAGTCCATACTACACTCACTACTACTACAAGCAAGTGCAGAATCTTTACTCAGTACTTCCGTCATTTTGCAACTGATAGTTATTGGTATGAAAGCTACGCAATCGTCTGCTATACTTAGCCTAGATACTTGATAGAGCGATCCCATGCTGATCTAGTGCTCCGGCTGTATGTCCGGCTGTTGAATGGCTTTGATAGCTGGCTGCTATGACAGCTATAATCACGTCTTAGTGTCAGTGTTACTTTATATCACTTCAAGACAGTAAGCCCGACAATAGTCTGTTTAACCAGATAATTTTGTTTCTATGTTGATCATGTTTGAGTTTCTTTGTCGACTTTTGTTTTAAGTGAGAGTTCCAATGTTGTTTGGAGTGGAAGTGTTAAATGCTTGTAGAAGTTCGTCCTTTCGCTTGATGGTGAGTTTGTTCTTTACTTTTTATTCTGTTTGTGGTTAACACATACTTAGGCTTCACTGCTACTACTGTCAATTCTGTTTTCTGAAGAGTCGCATTAAATATGCTGCTTGTTTTACATTGCATTGATTAACTTAATTGATTTTAACATTGCAATTAATACAATTACATTGCTTGTTCACTGCTCAAGTAGTAAGAAGTAAGTACTCATCGAAGTCATGTAACGTGCTCTGGGCGTTTATCTAAGAGTAAAGTTTGTTTTGTTTTTGTTATAAAAAATCATTAAAACGATTGAAAGTTTTCCTACGATGGAGACTTGCTGTGTAGGATATGTTTTTATTTGATCGTTTCATAAATCTTGAAATATTATATGCTAAACATGTTACAAATTTTAAATCTTTACCAGGCGGTTTACTTTTCCGGTTTAAATTAATGCAAAAGTTAATTTTTACTTATACTGTTTCATAATCATACTGATACAGTTAAGCTGTAAATCCTTTAGCCTATTACTGTATGCAACAGGCTCACTTATCATTGGTCAAGTCTTTTGTTCTCACTGGGCGTTACGCTTGGGTATCTTTTACAGGTAAAAAATAATATCAGATCTTATTTTTCACCCTTTATACCCCACTAAAGTTTTCCCGAGCTCCTTCCTTTGTATGTCAAAAATGTACTTATAGTTTCAACTACTCAACCTTTTATACAAATTAAATATATAAAAATAAACACTCCCATTTTCTTTGTTTGGTAATTTTGGGCAAACACAAAAATATTTAAACTTGTATGTTTGTTCTTATCGGGCCTTAGTGGTTTGTCAAGTGGAAATATAATAATTTACAGTTTTACAAACTCGAAGGTTTGTCAAAAATAAACATTATGATGTAAACCTGATCATTCACATACTTATATTTAATGAGCACCTTATTAAAGATTAAGAATTTTATTGAAAAAGAGGCCAGATAAAATAAGAAAAAATACTGAAAAGTGTAATGTTTAAAATCACCCAAACAATACAGGAAGAAGGAAGGGTCGGAGGACATAATGAAGCTTAAGTGCCAAACTTGGCCTCTAAATAACTGGACCTCTGGTAAACAAATTTATATTGGGGGACTTAGGCAGTTAGTGAGGGGAGATCCAGTTATAGTCATGACCTGCAATCAAACATGTCTACAGGGACGTAAGTGTAACATGTGACACATGTTACTAACTCACTATTGCATACAGAAATATACAAAATTATACAAATGTAATACAACGTATAAATTATCAACTCTCAGCATTGATTTGGAAAACTGAAGAAGATGTTTTATCGATATGGACCATAGGTTTATTGCGGACATTTTCCATTGTAAAAAACAATACACAACGTTTCGGGATCTGGAATTTGATCCCGTCCTCAGGTGAAAAAAACTTAACTAACACATTACAACTAACAATACACAAACGCCCAACCTAAGTTGGAATACACTACAGAGGGTAGTAGTAAAAAAATATGCACTGTATAGCAGTCAAGTCATGATACAACATGCAAATAATAACAAATCACAAAACACTATAATCTATAAAAGGTTTAACGCCATCACCAACAATGAACTTCAAACAAAGGATATGGACCAGTTGTGGCAACTTTTTAGCAAAAAAATTCCAAAGTAAAAATATTCGCCAGACAGAGCGTGCTTAACTTTCGATGTCCTAGTTCCCCCTTCCTGTAACATTTATTTTGACAGAACGTATACTGAAGCTTACAATAAGTTGCCCCAATAGTTTCATAAGTTCAATATCTTTGTGTACAAGACAAGGCATTTGAAAGTAATGTCCTCCTCAGTGGCTCAATATAATTATGATATCGTTGTATTAGTACTAAATAACATTCATTTGAATGCCTTTTAGCCTACACAGTTATCATAGCTACTGATATACTAATAGTCAAAGCTATTGCATTTATACACCTTGATATAGATGCATCAAATAAATTTTAATCATTTCTCATCACGGACAAATTAAATAATTTACGTTTTTTACAATTCTTACCAAGTGTACACAGCTAGTTAGATATAAGGGGGTGTAGTGATCGTTTACTCAACACTCACTTTCGCCTTGAAATACGCTCCTTGATGTGTCGTTGTCGAAATTACAGTATATCGTCTTATAAAACCTATTATGATTTAAAATTCATGTGCTAATTATTTGTGAAATTTAGCTCATGTTGGAATTTAGCCCCACCAGAGCGCAAGCATGGTTATGTAAAGGCGGGACGCAGAGCCGCAAGGGCGAAAGGGCAAGTGAAATAACAATTACCGGCTGTTGTGGCTCTGAGCCCTTAATTGAATTGAGCTCAACAAAGCCGTTTACACGGGGCTTCACTTTGTGACGTCATGGTCGTGACGTCTCCCCAACTGTTGCCATAGAGTGGTGGAAGAGCTTTGCTAGGTGAAGGGCAGTTTATGTACTGTAAAACTCGTATGATGGTTGTTAATGACCATTTTCTAGGTATTTTTGAAAAGTTGTACAGTAAGGTTGTTAAATGCTTATGTAATTTGAAATAACACTGTTTATTGTTTTGATTCACATTTGAAAACTATTATGTTTAATAATAAGGACCATAATTATAACTGTGTCTGATCTTATAAGGGTGTTTTTAGCTTAAAACAGAGAATAGCCTTATTCAGTAGTTTATTAAATTGCCAATATTTATTTAATTTAGAAACGTTTGGATTGCAATAGATATATATTATTTTCGGACTGAAAAGGGAACTTAAATAACCATATTCGACTTAATCAATGGCCTAACTGTTATATATCTGAGTAGCTCGTTTTTTATAGTGCTTGCTTAGTAGTCACAAGGTCACCGGTTCGGTCCAGGATAGTTCGATACTGAGCCCAGCTGTGCGTGACCATGGGGCTTTTAATAAATGGTCCTGACTAATGAAACCGCTGGTTTTATTCAGTAACAAAGCAATAGTGAGTATAATCAAATATGGACAGTAACGAAGATCATCTTACCCCATTCTACACTCATTCTTCACTCGATTTAGGCATAGATAAAAGGAGGCCTTTTATCTATGATTTAGGTTACAATACGTAACTAGGTGGCTTTCCCATCTTAATACTGGATAATTGATAGCTCAACTATCGTGTTAAGTAAAAATGTGATTTAATCCATCGTAATGAAAGCATAGCTATTTCAGCGAGACAGTGTAATTATTGCTATAAGTTATCTAACTAATAAGTTATTGACTGTTCCACTTCTTGTAGACGATAATACCAAATATATAGTGGTTCAGGCCAACAAAATTCAAGAGGTTTACAACTTCTACATTACGTTCAAAGAACACTTTTCACATGTTATGCCAAAAAGGACAGCTAGGTCCAGTTTTGATGCATCAAAAAGCTTTTGGTTTTTCTCGAACCTCCCACTATAGCCATTAAACATATCGACATTCACAAAACGCGTTTTTACTGGGCGTGGATTCAAATGCGTATACTGTACTTATATAATAAAATTGTACGAAAGATGGAAAGATCATTTGTGTACGACTGTATTGCGGGCTTTTCAATTAGTAAGTAGTAACAAGACTAGAACGTTGTCTAAAAATATATGAAAATTTAAATACCCCCGCCGCAGCAAACCTGCAGACTAAGCGAATTTCCATTTGCCTGATTGGATTTAGACTAAAATGTATCCTTAAAAATATCACATTTATTCCCTATTTAAATAGAATCAGTTTAACACATACTTAGGTTTGCTGCAACAGGGAGGGTAAAAGTGTTTTTTTATGTAAAATGTTAATAGTTGGTAAGAAATAAAAACATTTTCCAAATTTGGGCAAAATATGTTAATAAACAAGCACACTACAACGGTTTACTTATTCTCCATAAGAATAACATGGGAATTTTCAATTAACAATTTTTTGGAATTTTATCCGTAACCATTAGGCGCATTATAACGCTACAATATACCAAATTATTTGTTTTTTTAAGCTCTACAAAATAGATTGGAAAGAAATTTCAAAATTTTATGTTTTTTGGGTCAAAAATAGGAAAAACTCATTTTTACCCCATAAAAGCCCCCATAAACCCCTGTTCCCATGGTCCGATCATGCTGGTTCGCGAACTCGTTCGAATAAACGTAGGTTTACACGTTTGTACCAAATTTCATCAAAATCGGATCATTTTTGCTCGAGTTATCGCGCTAACGGACACATATATATATATATATATATATATATATGAATTTGAACGGATGGTGTTTTTGGCCTCTAGGGACCTCAAAACAAAAAAAAAATCGGTCCCGGGTCCAGGTCTTACCATGAGTACTACGGTAATAGCTTATTCCCTATATGGGAAATTCGCTAAAATGATGTTCAAGTACAACAATAAAATAAAACTACATGTGAGGGGTTAGCTGAGGAGACAACAAACCTCTACAAACCCACACAACCCTTGTACTCAACCTGGCACGGACCCTTCTACAGCGAGCCAAGTCTTGTCGTTAACCCATTCACAACTCGTGTTTAAGGAGACGATTGATGAAGAGCGGAAGTGGCGGTGATAAACCGGAAATCAATCACCCTCCCGCCAAAACTCCCCTTGTCGCGCTCTCCAACGCTCCATCGAGCAGTCTGTCATTTGTTACTTAGGTATAATGATGCCCTTTTTATATTGTTACGGTTCACAATGATAGAATAGTTGGAAAGCTATTCAAGTTCTTCGCTGATTTTAGTAAAAAAAGTGTTGTATTATTATTGTATATAGGCGTGTAGCTGAGAGGATGTATAGGGTTCAGATGGTAGCTAAGTACAAGGTAGGGAGATAGATTTTTTGGTGGTTAAAAACTAGACCTAGCCTTCCTTCAATTTGGACTTCAATCAATGGTCCTGAATAAATCCATATTATCCTGGACAGTAAGAAAGCTATTAATTCATTCATTTAAAAAAATACGCCCATTGGTGTTCCGGTGTCACAGGAATACGCGTATGATCCAATCAAATATGATTAAATTA